TTGTCGTCATCGCTCTCACTATTCTGTCGGTCACAAGGTGCACAAGAAAAATCATTGCTCAACTGTGAAAACGAAAAGGTGTTAATCAGTCGACAAGAGTTTTAAATCTTATCTAAAAGACTTCCTCTGCTGAAAATCACATTTCAACATGTCCATGTGGTGTTTTATACACTAGAAGACACATCAGGAGCAAAATGAGCAGCAAACACTATGGCTGAGTATTTCTACTTTGACACTGTGGTGGACCAATAACAGTCTCAGACACAAAGACTCAGACTTCCAGGGTTTCACACACAACAAATCTACAGGATCAATTCTGACTCCTTGTTGTTTGGGAGTCAGTACAACACATATATTATGGGATATAGTAGATCTTATTGGGTCCAGGGGGCGCTCCTGAGGACCTTCTATGACTCTGTGGTGGCATCAGCCCTCCTCTATAGAGTGGTCTGCTGGGGCAGCAGCATCTCAGCTGCTGATGGGGAAACTTGATCGTCTGATCAAGAAGGCCAGCTCTGTCCTGGGGAGCCCTCTGGACCCAGTGCAGTTACATTACTGAATAAAATGTGTATGATTGTATGAAGCTGCATCCATTGCTGGGGAAGTGGGTGACAGAGTAACAGCTTGTTGACTGTGATTTTCTGAATCAGTAATGGATCCTTCATCAAGCAAAACATTATATGGATGTAAACACCATCTAATCAAGCTAAAGCAGAAGATCTTCTCATAGCCAATGTTTTATTTTTAATCTAACCCCCTGGAGAGGAGTTAGTTATTTTTTGTTTTGATTACTGTACAGATATTTTTTGTTGTTATTGCATATAACTGCTAAAAACTACTAAAAGCAATATTAATGAAAACACCCTTCACTTTTAGTGATCAAAGAGTATTGTAGAGTTTTGTGTTGTGACACAGCACAAGTCAGAAACAGCGTATTCTAACACTGCATCCACGACAATGCTGATATCCAAACCATCACATCTCATACCTCAGCCTCATCCTGCTGTCCAGTTTGGCCCTTGTGGACTTCTCCTGTTTCCAGATCTTCAAAGTCACCATAAAGCTCCTCTAAATAGAGCAAAACAACCAAGTACAGAAATGAAATGATGCTGACACAACATGCTTTTTACATTTTAACAGTAAACCATCAAGTCCATCAAATTGGTCACAAACCATAATTAAAATGGATTTAAATGACCCTAATTCAACTCAAAGTGTTTTTCTATAGAACTATTACTGATCTTAACTGAAAGTCAACTATCAGCTTCTTCTTACCGTCCTCCTTCAGCAGCGTGGCTGCATCTTGACCTTCCTCCCACTTTCCAGTTACAAAGCAATCCCTGATCGAGTTCAGCATCTAAAAAAGAAAACACATTGACCCACTTAAGCTTAATTTCAATAAATTCTTTTTCACAATTTCTTTTCAGATCAGTAGCACATGAGGAATCTAAGATCAACAGCTGTCCAACTAAGAATAGTGTGTTAGGAACTACTGTACCTCTTCCAAGTCCCAGTTGTGGGAGGCGTCGGGGTAGAAACAGGAGCTGTCCCGAGCATTGGCCTGAAACTTTTTGCTCTTCTGAGGACGGCTGACTCGAAACAGGCCTCCCAGCTCCTCCTCCTCATCCTCAGAATCATCTGCCTCGACAACTGCAAAACAAAGAGGACCAGGGATTGTCACATAAACTCTGAAACATTTACACATTGTTTATATCTTTCTTTATCTTCTAGTAAAACACTATTCTATTAATAATATTCATATTCATCATGTGGCTCGTGTAAATACAAAGCTGTTATTAGTTTCTGGGGCAGCTGGTTGTTTTGTTTCACAACATTGAACTATGAACTGTCCTTACATTATGTTTTTAAAAGTACATATTCTGTAAATGGTGTGCCAAGTATTCCCAAATCCTGATCAGATCACAAGTAAACGGTTAATGTCAATGCTTGATGTGAACAGGGCCAGAGTGGACTTCATCAAAGAAATGGCCAAAAGCCATTGACAAACTCACATGTGGATACCAAGTAAAGCACAAAAACACAAGAATTGGGGCGCAGAAAATGGCAGCAGGTGCTCTGGACTGTTTAACAGTTTGAAATATGAGGCTAAAACAAAAGTACAGTCGTGACTCGATAATCCGACACTAAATGTAAAACCTTCTTTTACATCAGATAGCAAGGCTGTCAGATTGTCAAGACGAAGGTCGAGATACAAGGAGGGCTTGATGCTTGGAGAGTACTTTGTTGTTAATATTTATTGTTTTTAGTTGTTATAACAACTAGTGTATTGTTAGAACACTACACAGCGCTGGATTTTACACCTAGTTGACGAGTGAGCTTGTGCACGTTCCGGCCACTTACACCCTGGGGGTGCGCTCTGACTGGGTGGAAGTGGCCGGAACACACAGGTGGTACTTGGCTGCTGATGCCAGTTTCGTTAGTGGTCACAGTTCTGCTTCCACCATCAGCTGCGGCAGCAGCAGGAGAGTGGCAGATACGCTCCACCGTTACCATCCGTGTTTACTTCCGCAACACTGAGCACGCTCTGTGACATAAAATGTCATGTCGGAGTCAGAATCCAAGGCTGTCAGTATGTTAAGGATATTTTCTATGGGTTCCGTTCGTTTTTCCTTAAAAACCTGCTGGATAGCAAGGTTTTCAGATTGCTAAGGGTCGGATTATCAAGTCATGACTGTATTGTCAAAGGGCTGGAGAGCTACGGGACGATTGTCTTTAGTGAAGAATGACAGAGGTTCCTGACAGATTATGGACTGCATTTGTTTCGAGAAAAAAGGCTGACTCTTATCCATCATGCAACACCATCACAGAGGCTTCTGATCATCCCCAGTTCATTCTGCAGCTGAACCAGAACGTCCAGTCGTTAAGAACTATGAGAACCACAAAAGTATCAGGGAGTCCTGCAGCAGAACCCTGATCTAAACATCAAGGAGTCAGTCTGGGATTACATGAAGGTAATGCTTGGAACAAACCACCTGCTAAATATCTTGAAGAACTAAAGATATAAATTAAAGAAGTGGTACTCACACCTCACATCCTGTTTGCTGCGCTTTGTATGCAGTTGACTGATTTATAAANCACAAAAAGTCATCATGCTTTCAATGAGCCTCACCCCAGATGGATGCTCCACAGTGCATGTGCTGCGGTGTGTATTTGAGCAGGCGGTGGCGTCCGTTGTGATCCTCAATGTGATAGAGAGGGATGGTCTGAAAACGCCGCCAGCCTAAGGACAGGATGAGCGGGTCCCGCGTCTTCAGGATGCGTTCATACCAGCGATGTTTCTTCAGTCGCATCTGACAGAGACAAGCAGCTTTAGACATGTGCTCACTCGTTGTTATAAAGTTACAAAGATAAAATAGGAAGAAACCTATTATTGTTATTTCTCATGACAGAAATTGCATTTGTAAGATGCAGCAAAATCACAAAAAGCAAAGTGTATCTGACAAGACCTCATCCCATTATCGAGACTATAAATTGACATTGTCATTATTTGTGGATAAATGCAATGAAATTATTGTTTTGTGTGTTTTTCCTGACAAGACTATGGCTGCAACAATCAATATATTGTGTTGATGTTTGCCAGAGCTGAAGAGGGGAGCAACCTTAGAAGCTGTACAATCTAGGAGTACGGTGGGGCCTACAGAGAAAAAGTCTAGGAAGCATCCAAGAAAAGATTCTGATACTTCAGATTACAAAGAAACTTGGAAACAAAGTCAGAACACTTTACATTTGACACAGAATACCACCACTGAGTGACAAACACAAGTTAATAATTTAGCTGAGAAGTCAAAATAGCTTGCTAAAAGTAATAGATGAATGATTAAAATAGCTGAACTTGAACATGGAGTATACGTCGAGCACTGAAAACACATTCGTTTTGTTTATACTTATTTGTCTCACAATGATATAGTTCTGACATCTTTGGTTAAAAAAAAGAAAAAGAAACTCTTGAATGAGTTGGTGTGTCCTCACTTTTGACTGGTGCAGTATGTAAATGTATTAGTGAACACAATATAGATTTTTGTAATAACTGTATTTTATAAATGTAAAGTCAGCTCTTGTGTCTTTGCACATACTTGCAGATATCCTACGTTGCCTTCGTTGGAGCCCAGGCCTCCCAGGATGATGGGGTAATGGGGGTCGAAGTTGGTAACAAACTCACAGGGTAACGGGGAGATTTCTAATCTGACGTACATTCCTGGCCGGAAACCTTCATACTGCACTCTGGTCTCATCGTCCACGTCCTCAAACTCTGCTCTGTTCAGCTGTGATAGAATGCAGGACAATGTTCTCATACAAGACACAAACATATGAATCTATCAATATGAAAACAGTAATTATAAAAGAAGACAGTAAAACGGTCTACCTCAGCCTGCTTCTGCATCTCCTCCTTCAAGTCATCAAAGTAAGTGGCGTCGTCGTCATCATACTCTGCATCAAATCGCTCTTTTAGCCTGCGTTTCTTCTCCAAACGTTTGTTCTTCTGGACCTCGTCATCGTCCACCTTCACCAGGCTCTCCTCACCTTCATCATCATTGTCGTCATCGCTCTCACTATTCTGTCGGTCACAAGGTGCACAAGAAAAA